TGTACAGAAATTTATTAAAGATGAATTAACATCAGTATTGGATTAGCAAATGGGCAATGGTTCATTGATGTAGCTCGTAACCTGGTCTCCAATTGGAGCGAGCACGAGGATCGATAATTTTAGCCTACTCCTGTTGTTGAATTTCGAACTTTAACGTTACTTTAAAAGTAATGCAGGATAAATGAGCTTTTTGACCTAACTATGTCTATGGCCACCGCGAACTCTCGGTGACTCTTTCAGTCTCTGCCTGCACGGGTGATGTGTGCGTCATTCATTAGGCCTTATCTCTCCCTCGAGCAAGGTTGCGATAATTCCGCCATCCTGGCCCTCCTTCAGTTCTCATTACTTTTGCAGTTTGCTGTGCGCTTGTGTGTTTTCATTCATTATTTCTCTAAAAAAATATATGTATCAGCAAATTTCTTGTTTATATTAATTTTGGAAAAAGGCGCTTATCCAACATTAGGAACACGTGGATTCGCACAGAGATCTATGACTTCATGTCTATACATTAAACACACTGTTTCTGTGCAGCGTCTCGATATACAAACAGTATCAATCCACTTCTTGATTAAGTTCCTCCCTGTATTATAGAGGTGGCCAGAACTGGTGTGGGGGCTGATGCCCCCCTCCTTCTCTCCCCCCTCCTCCTCGGCCCCTTCTCACGGGCTGCTGCCGATCAGGTTATCGGCCTCCCAGCACCAGCGTCCTCTCTGTGGGACATGGCTAGCGGCTGGCTCCTCACCGCCTCGGGTTATCCCACACACTCCCCACGTAACCCACCACTAATGCGTAGATGGCTGCGTGCTCACGTGTACCTGTGCAGGTGGCTGCCGCACGAACGCGGGAGCAGGTACTGAGTTACTATGCAGCGCAGCTTCACACACACATGCTCGAATTACGCACCACGCCGACACCCTTAATGCGACCGTCGATACGTAAACACACTGCGTAAAGCGCGCTGTGTAAGCACGCACGCGAGCGCAAGTGCCGGGCACAACGACGATCGTATTGATGATAATATTTGCGCATTAATCCGCTGTGCAAACACGCACGGCGAGCGCAAGCATGCGGATCCAAACGTGGGGGCCCTTAATAAATTACTGCCCGCGTGCCTCCCACGCACACGCTCGAATTATGCACCTCGCTGACACCCTTCCACACACACAGAAACCACGTGGCGTCATTGCTTTGTGCTAAAGTTTATTAATGGTGCACCTGAAAGAAAACCCTGCGTGGCCCGGAGCAAAATTCTCAGCGAGCAACGCCCAATCTATTCCTATTCAATCCCTAGGTGGACCCTTACGCTACTTCTCACTTCGCAGATGTACTCACGGTGTCTCACGGTCCCTGCCTGGGTCGAGTTGTAGCTGCACTCTCCAGCGTCTCTCGGACGCTCCGAGCGGCTGGGAGTCCGACTGCGTCGCTGGCCGACTGGAGGAGAACCGACTAACGTTTCTTCCCTCCCACCCTCCCTTTGTCTCCTCCGAATTCAAAAATCCAGGGTCACGTGAAATCTACTACTGTCTACAAATATGACACATGCAGCGCAACATAAATTATTGGCACTTTACTCAGACTTCACGTGGGCTTTCTGACAAATATACTCATATAAGCGCACAACTTTATCTGTAATGAACGCTGCACTTTCCATCGTTTTCATGCAGGGGGCACTGCAAACCTACGCGCCCCCTGCATGAACGACGGAGGCACAGGGACAGACGTTCTATTACGTTGGAATCGATCTGGAGACGGCGGTCTTCTCGCACGGCAAGCTCTATGTCGCCTTATCTCGATCCCGCAATCCCAAACAGGTGAAAGTCCGCATCGAACCAAACCCCCACCAAGGCCCTCTGCTTAGCGACGAGGGAAAATTCACACGAAATGTCCTTTTCAATTAAGTCTTCCAGATGTAATATGATATAAGCTTTTAATGAAGAAATAAAATTATCTAATTCAAAACAATACAATTCAAAGATGTTCATTTTAAAACTTCAAAACGGAGCACCGGGTGCTTGCATGAATGCGTCGTTGGTGTGTGACTTTCCTGGCCGAAGGCCGTAAATGGTTGTGAAGGGCGCCGCAGGCACCCCCGAACAACCCCTAGTAACGTAATAAAGACATTAACATTAGCTGAACACGCCCGTGAGCGCCATTGTTGGTCGCTGGGTGAATGTGTGGCTAATTACCTTTCCAAGTAACTTACTTAGCTATGATAGCTAACGTTAGTGATGGCTGGTTGATTAGTAATCGCAAATCGGCCTGTTTTCACCAAAAGTTTGATACATTCTAGTTTTCCACTTTTTAATCAATTTGGAAGCAATGAAATGGAGCGACAGTACAGTGTTTGACATTCATTGTACCTACCCACAGCAGTCGAGCAACGGCTTCTGCTGGGATACGGCAACACAACTTGGACAAACCACACGCAGAACTGCAGTACACCATCATACTAGAGCCAGTAGTAATAATAATGGCAATTTGTTAAGTTTCGTTATGATTATGATTACATTTGTAGTGACATCCGAGATGTCACTGTATGGTGCCGGCCTGAGAGGGCCGTGTTGTGTGATGCACCGTCATCGCGTACACCCCGTGGGTGGGTGTGGTACCAGCCCTAGTGGGGCTTGGTGAGCCCTGGGATAGCGCGGGCACCACGCATGGCATGTAGTGTGAGCTCCAACCAGGGGGAGTGGGAGAGTGTCAGCCCAGGGGCAGGGTTGTCCCGAGCCATGGCACTCTGGCTGACCCTGTAGACACGTGATCCGGTGTGTCCACAGAGAGGCCCCCAGGTGGGGGGGCTAGGGGGTGATCACGTGTCCGGGGAGAGCTCTCGAGAGGGATCAAGAGGGAGCTTGAACGCTCGGGAAGGCGGGCGGGGCCAAGGGCGGAGCGGCCCCGACCTGGGAGGGATATAAGTTGGGTCCCTGAGAGGGACCAGGGTCGCTGCACTCTACAAGCTGGAAGCTCTACATCCTACAAGCTGGAAGCTCTACAGGCATCAACACGTTGCCGGGACCCGAGTGAGGATCAGACCCGTCGTACCTGTAACTCCTCCGTATAGGGTAGTTAGCTGGGTGGCCACCACCCTAGGCTGTATCTGGTGAAGGGGCTGTCACCCCTTTGTGTTACGTGTTGATGTTACAAATACATGTGTTGCCTCTAAAGAACGTCTGCGACTCAGTTGGACTCACTACACATTTGCTAATGAATATTTCAGATGGTGGTGCGTGGTTGCCTGTCGTAGCATTGCAATTATTATTTAAAAATATTTTTTATATCAATATATTGGGGGGAACATGTTGAGCATATTTGAAATTTGGGGGGATGTCCCCCCCCCCCTATATATTATAATTACGGCCTTGTGCAGTGTGTAAACATCACCACTAGTGAGACATAGGATGGCGTGGTGCTGGCCACCCACCCCTCGTGTGCCGTACCAGCCTTTAAAGGTGTCTGCTGACAGCACTTGGCCCAACTGTCTGTTCAAGCTACATGGGGGATCTTGGGGAGGGGGGGGGGTGCATGTTGGAGAGACTTGGAGAGAGTGAAAAAGGGCTTTGAGTGGTGAGAGAGGAAGTGATTGTTTTAGATTCAAATGATAAGCTATACAGGGGACCTTGCACTTGTGGTTCTTCATGCGTGGTACATGAGGTCCCCGATATATGTCGAGGTGACAGACCGGAAAGTTTCTACCTATAACCAAATGATGTATGACGGGGCATTTTCCCCCATAAGAATAATTGAAAATGGGGGCGGGAGTAGTGACCGTAATGAGAGGAAACCTTGTCTATGTGACGAAAATCGGGGCCATTTTCCCCATAAGAAACAATAGAATACGGTCGGGATAGAGATTGTAATTTAGGGAAATGTGTTTCATACCTCAGAATCGATATATGTACTGTACATGCATAGTACTATACTGTACAACACAATGTACACATTTATAACCAATGATGCGTTCCAGGATCTTTAAATAGCATGTTTACTTATCAAACACTTAATACAAAATGTTTGAGCATTTGTAAGAAGCCCTGTACACGTGTAGTGACATAGTGCTGACTGTTGGACAGCAGTATCAACTGCAGGTGGGCACTTAGTGCACAAGCCGCTGAGCATATACGCGGGTATGCCGGCAGGGCAGAGGAACTGGGGCAACGGTCATGATAGACCTCGTGTGGAAGCCCCTGGAACCCTCTAGAGCAGCGGTCCCCAACCTTTTTGGCACCAGGGACCAGTTTCATGGAAGACAATTTTTTTACGGACCGGGAGGGGGTTCATCTTTGGGTCTTTCCTCCTTTTCAAAGAAGCTCTCCAGGGACGTTTGTTTTTTACTCATTTTGGCTACTAGGGGTTAGCTTGTGGCCTTACCAAAACTGTGACTGAGACAAGTACGCAGTGCAGGAAAGAGGCGCGGACGGAAGTGGTAAATAAAATAATGGGCGGGACACGCACGGACTCACCGCTCACCTCCTGCTGTGTGGCCCGGTACCGGTCCGTGGCCCGGGGGTTTGGGACCCCTGCTCTAGAGGGTTCAAGAAGGGAGGCACGGCTAGGGCAGAGCCAAGCTGCGTCGAGGGGAATATAAGCAGCGGAGAGCGAGAGCCCTGGGCTGCCGGTTCTGGGAGTGGACTCATCTCGTCGTCATCGTCGCCGCCGTCTTCACCTGATTATGGCGCGGCCGGACAGTAGTTGGCTGTCCCAGTCGACGCCGTCGGTGCAACGCGGACAGGGTCGTGTCTGGGATGGGGCGTGCAGCAGCGGGGTCGTGTGTGAGAGAGAGAGGTGGCCCGAGTTGTGGTGTGAGCTCGGCAACAACAGCAACGAATAAAGAGGGCAGATTGGTGCCTCCTGCGACCACCTCACCTCCGGCTGACTGTGTGTGCAATGCACGCTACCCACACGCACAGACGACACTCCACATGTTAAAACGTTCTGGTTTTTTCATAGAAAACATTTCTGACATTTTTAAGCAATGACTCAAAAAGAAAAGATTTTAGTTTAAAAAAGCATGGAATCTTCAACAGCATATTTTTTAGATTTTACCTTAAGCTATAATTTGTATGATCTTACATTGAGAAGTGGATTAGTTGTCCTTAATTGGACAAGGTGTTGGGAGATGATTATGCCAATTACATTGAGCTCTCACTACGCACGTGAGAGAACACAATGGGACTGAGAAGGAGTAGAAAGGATACTGGGGATACATGCGACGATGGTTGCGCATGTATAGTGTTCTTCACGGAGGCACACACTTTACTTGGAGGCAACACGTTTATTACACAGCCCCAACAGGGCCAACTACATAAACGTACACACGTTAACTAGACCCCAACAAGTAACTACATAACCGGGTCAGTCAGTAACATCCTGACTGACCCACGATGCCGAGCGGAGACCGAAGATCCAAGAGACGTAGCGCCGAGGGTTGATTCCAGAGAACAGCCCTGATCGGAGCTCGGGACTCAGCCTTTATCGGCCGCGGTGTGGCCGGGCTCCGCCCATGGCCACGCCCCCTGTCAGATCCTTCCCGAAGACTTGGCCCCTACATCACATGTCCCTCTCCTCTCCTTTTGGGCCCCCCTTGCCACCTCGTCCGGTCACATGTCCTCTCGGGGTCACCCAGACTGTCATGTCCTCACTCGACCTCTCTCTCACTATCACCAGGACTATGCCCCCTAGGGCCCGCTTCCATGGCATACCCACTCTGGTGCCCGAGAGCGGCCCAAGACACACAGCTCCACTCATGACAGTAGCTGGCGCTAAACGCCACAGTGACTCCATTTATGACACTACACATGCGTGAAATACGAGTTGTACGTTTTCTATACTAAGTTGAACTCGAGTAAAAAAATACGTAACAACGTATGTGCAGGGGAATTTTACGTTGGGTTCCTCAAAAATGTAACAATGTATATCAGGGACCCGTTGTAAGTATAACATTTCATATTTTATTCCTTTATTTTAAATAATACAGTAATTTGTATTTCTCATGTAAAAAAGTAGAGGCACGTCTCATTAAGCAAGACGCGCCTGTACTTTCATTCAGACGCCTCCTAATATATCACTCAAGATAAATGCACTGAGACTTAGTTTTCCCTGCTTCTGGTCTTGCGAGTCGATCTTCTTCCCATGATGTGTGCCGGTTTTTTTCTATCTCAGGAAGTGGCAACCCTACTCAGGACAGACGTAGGCCAGGAGGAGCTTGATCTCGTTGTGGATGATGATGGGCTCGGGGTGCATGTTGTCCGGGAGACGGTGAGCCGCCGTCATTTCCCAGGCGTCCAAGATAACCACGGGCAACCCCGCCATGAGACGGCGCATGACGAGGTCCAGTTGAAGAGAGAGCCAATCTGACTGGTAGACCGAGTGGTAGCTGGTGTTGGCCGACTTGAAGACGACCAGTGTCCCGGGGGCTCGCTTCAGCAGGCGAATGACCGCGGCACGAATGCCCCTCATGCGAGTGACGTAGAAAGACACGGGGAACCCCGTGAGGTGAGCCCACACGCTTATTCCCACCACCGTGTCCTTCCCACCTGAGTTGTAGGACACATGAGGACGTGAGAACACGGATATACACACACAGCAATGCAGACAGAAAGGCGTTTCCCAGGTGTTGGTGATGTGGCTGTTGTTGCATTGTTAATGAGCCGATACAACCTTGTTTTCCAAATCCCAGGAGTTTGCAGAATATTTATCACAGCGTCACAATGTTAGCGTCGGTTGCGGGTGTTTTTGCCCATCTAGCATGTTTAAGTAACAACAGCTGCTTTCCAGTTTAGTTTTTCAGACGTTCCTGAAGCAATGGTACAAGCACACGCACATCTAGTGTGACAAGCTTTAATTCAGAAAAACCTGCAGTGAGGTAATATACATGTATTCCCCACTTTTACAACAAAATGTGTTCCTGGAAAACCCTTTCGTAAACCAGATAATTGTAAATCAAAACATATTTTCCTATCATCATCATCACGATCCATGGGCAGATAGCCTGGAGATATCCACTGCACATTTCGTAATTTGTTTCCACTTCCCTCTGTCTTTTGCCAATATGCTCAAGTAGTGCACAGCTTTCTAGGACCAATCTCTTATGTTGTCATCCAGCCATTCTCTGTTAGGTCTTCTTCTCTTTCCGGTTCCTTCCATTTTTTCGAACCAGACACTTTTAATTGTCCTGTTGTTGTCCATCCTACATGTGTGTCCAAATAGTGCCAATTTCCTTCTCATGACTGCCTGGATTACATCTTTTTCAATGTGCACCTTTCGCTTACTCCTATGTTGGGCACACTTTGGGTCCGGTTTAGGTGCGGTATGCTTCTATAGCAACACATATTGAATGCCAATATCTGATTTCTGTCAGTATTTTTCAATGTCCAAGTCTCGCAGGCAATGAATCGACGTACTGAACAGGCATGTTCTTAAAACGTTCAGTTTGTTCTTGTAGCTGATTTTCTTGCGTCTCCAGATGTTATTGAATCCTGCAATTGCTCCTTTTGCCTTTGCAATCCTCACTCATGTCTTTCGTGTAGTCATTGTCCCATGTAATTAAACTTCCCAAGTATGCAGAATCCTCTACATTCACAATCTTTCCGCTTTCTGGTATTCTTTCTCAATGTCCCCCCTTCCGAACATCATTGTCTTTGTCTTTTCCACTTTAATCCTCAGTGCTGCATCCTTTCCTGACTCATGCGGCATTTGAACAATTTCCTGCAGCACTACACATATTTATTCCATCAGAGATCTATGTCATCTGCGAATCTCAGCTTAGATATTCTTCCTCCATGCACAGACATTTCTGTGCCATTGTCCTGAATGGCATCCATCACTCATTCCAAGTATGTGATGACGTTGTTTGGTGATAATGGATCTCCCTGTCTCATACCTATTGTTGTTGGGAACCATTCTCCTATTTCCTGTCCAAACTTTATTTCTGACTTTGACCTTTCACCTATATTCTGCAGAATCTGTGCCAGTCTTTTTCCAACTCTGTATGATCTTAATACGTTATACTGTATCTTGCTTCGTTGAATAAAATGCTTTCTGGAAATCTATGCCACTCTATATTTTTTTTACTTTCTTTGCTATGAGCTTTAACATTAAAATTTGCTGTACTGAGTTCCTATCTTTCATAAACTCTGCCTGTTAATCCACCAAATAGTCCTCAGTCTGCACTTTTAATCGATGTAATAGTACTATCATTGCTACCTTCCCCATGTGGCTCACTAGTGCAATGGTTCTGTATTTTTTAAAATCGGTGAGATCTCCTTTCTTGGGTATCGTAACAAATATTAATTTTGTCAACTCTTTTGGTATTTTCCCTTCTCTCCATACATGCTTGCATAGCTCCAGCTTTCATAATTTCTACACTTATGCCATCCACTCCTGGTTTTTAGTTTTTCTCCAGATGTTTTATTGCCTTTTCTACTTCTTCGTACAAGATTTGATCATTTTCATCATACCTTGGTGGTGGGGATATCTTTTCTAGTTCATCCAGCAGCTCTTTATTCTTTTGTTCTGTATTTCTATACAATTTGCTGCAGTGCTCAGTCCATCTCTTTTTTTTGTCTCTGCTTCATCCATCAAGATCTTGCTGTCCATGCCTTTCATTGTTCTTTGCCTTGCCTGCCACTTGCTATTTGTGCTCTAGACCAGTTTGTACACCTCCCTGATCTTGTATTCTCCAGCGTAGTATTCAATGTCGCTACATTGCTTTTCCAGACATTCCTGCTTATACATTTTTGCCGTTGCCCTTACCTCATTGCATTGCTCTTTGTACTTAGTCGCCATCTCATCCGATTAATCTATCTTTAGCCTTTTTGTCTTTTCCTGTGATATTTCGAAGGTTTCCTCAGTTATTCATTTTTTCGGGTTTTGCTACAAGGATTATTGTTGCTTCTGCTGCTTGCTCCACTATCTTCTTGAGTGCTAATGCCTTGCTGTCTATGCTAAGGTGTTAAATTTTGCACCCCTGATTCTACTCGATATTTACTATTCATATGTCCTCCTTATCTCCTCATTCTGGAGTCCCTCTATGTTTCTCTTCTTCTCATATTACGTTCTGGATATACATTTTAGTTTTAGTCGTAGGTTGCAGAGTACCAAGCTGTGGTCCAATTTCACATCGATCATTACCAGATCCATAATATTCATATGTTTTCCATCCAGTGCCTTCCATGTCTATTTTCTGCACTCTTTTTGTCTGAACTTCCCTGACCAGATCACTTCACATCCATTTATCTCCCCCGTTCCTGTCCATTTTATTTAGTTGTACACCGGAGACTGCCTGTACTTAATTTTTATGAATTTAGTTTTTCGACTGACTACTGAAAGTGCCAGTCCTTATTCTCACAGGATCACAGACATGAACAAATAAGAAAACGGATAGAAAAAATTCGCTTGGCTTGGATGTGCAAATGGAAAAAAAGAAATAAAACACTACATTGAAGGAGAGTATGGAGCCTGGGGTAGAGAAGCGAGGGTGATAGGCATAGGTAAGGGGCTTCTGACCAGTTAGGCCGTCGATCTCGTTGGCCACGTAGTGCAGGGCAGCCACGGGCCCGTGCTGTGTGAGGAAGGGGAGGCCCTGTGAGCGGAAGAGCAGGAACGTCTTGGCGGCCACGCTCACCGACATGAGCGGGCCCAGCACCGTGGGTGCATTGATGTCGATGAACTGCATGTCTGAGAGAGGCAGGCGAGTCATAGTGGTACTTTGCTGATGTTACGGTGACATAATTCCCCTAATTACTAATGCAACATCAGTGTATGTTCTGGGCTGTGCGGGACAGCACAGGTCGTATATTGATAGTAATTCTGAGTTTCTGAATTGTTGCCCTGTCTTTCTAGATCTTGTTTTTATGATTCCTAAAGTAGTCCCAAGGGAAAACGTATTTTCTAATTGTTAAATTTGGTTGTGGGAATTGTTCTTAAACTTACCAGTGAGCTTAAACAACAATAATAGGCATGTTAGATGTTTATACACGTGACAATTGGTTTGGCTGTTTCATGTTGTGAAGGGTTCCTACTTCCACAGATTTGGTCAAATAATGACTCGAAGAGCTGTCTGTGTTCGATGCATTCCAAAGCAAAGTTACCTATACACTCTTATACCAATCACCTGCAATAAGGCTTCATCACAAAGCCTGGGCTTTGTGATGACCTACAATGATAGTAACTATAATAATGCCCGTTACCTATGAAACTAAGACTTTAACATTACAATAAAAGATGACATTGGGTCAGAAGACACAGTAATGCCATAGAGGCATCAGCAACAGATTACATGTGATGATGATAATGATAATCGTCAAAAGTAGAGGACTACTGCTGTCAGATGTTCCTGAACCCAGTGGTCTTAGCAAAGTGGCTGCACAGGAAGTGAGAGACCCAGGAAAACAGCATAATATCTCCAGACATTCTTAGAAAATTCCTGCTAGATTAGGATATTTAACCAATTCCATGAATTATAATTTGGCATCTGACTGCAGAGTGTTCCTGCCGTGTCTTCCATTAAAGCATTTCCCACTCTCCAACCGAGCCACGATGGGTCATACCGACGTGGCTCAATAAGGACCAAGTTGCTTTTCTACTGCAGAAGCCGAGCCGTGCCACTGGCGCACCACTGAATGAGCCCCACCCCTTTCCATGCTTGGTCTCGAGCCAGAGTCAGACGTCTTGGGGGGTCAGCGTAGCGCGGTTTGGTTCTGGCTTATACCATGAGGCCCTCGCTCTGACTATGCTTGGCTGTGGCAGTTAAAAGGGGGTATTGGAGACCAATATTGCTCCCTACGCATGAGGCAAATTGAGCAAATAAAGCAATAGGATGATGAGGGGTTCATGCTGGTGGTGAGGTTCTCATACCTGGCACGTGCGCGGTGAGGTGCAGAAACCATTGGCGGATGGTGGAGTCCCCGTACATGTAGATCCTCTTTCCGCGCAGACATGTGGCTAGGTCTTGAGGGGCCCGGAAGGGTCGCGCCCGGCAGGACAGCGACACCCACTCATCGTTGAGGTAGAAGCCACTCAGAGAGGGCATTGAGTGGCCTGGCATGCACGACCCAAGGCCAGCCGCTGAGAAGCACACATACACAAACACCCATTGTCATCACTTTTTAAAATTCAGTATTATGAGAAATCTTACAAATCAAACTCACTGTGACTCACGTATTAACTGTAACTCAATATATATATATATTTTCTTACAACAATTATGGTCATATTACACTCGTTGCCTGCCCGAGAATCTTGAAAACTTTTTCTGTACTCTGGCCCAACTGAGCAGGCCTGGCTACACTCTAGATATGCCTAGCTAAGGCTGCATAGGACATGAAGTGCTCAACACTCACTGAGGTTGTGCAGTGATGACGACGACAACACCTTGATTTGGCTTGGATCTCCGCTGATTCTCACCTTTGAGACTTCGCTGCATCACCCAGGAACAACGCACAAAAAAAAAGGGTGGGGAATGGCCTAGGCAGATGGGATGCCACACCGGCAGGTAACGTGTAAGTTAAGACTCAGTCCAAGCCTTTACAAATTGTGGAAATTGCTGTGTAGCTAGGATAGGTCTCGTGAGGCATACTTCAAATCAAACAATTTCTATTTATGATGAGAAATCCCACCACAGCAGGAAAATGTGTGCAGGCTGGAAGCAAACAGATTCAACAACATGAGAAGGTTTCCTCACAAACAGCAGGAAGGCACAACTCCCATCATGCCTTGTGAACAAATCAGGGGATTACCACATTGCTTGAACAATGCACTCAGCCTTGTCCAGACCCGAGCTCAGGAGCTAAATGTGGCCATATTATTGTTTACATAACCAACTCGTTTAGTTAAAATGCAGTCACAGAAGATGCTGTGCTGTCAGGATTGTGCTCGTCAGTCATGCAAACCAATTTACTGCTCTACTATTGATCTGAACTCATCATTTTGTTGCTACAACCATCAAGTGAAATGCATGGGGGAGATTGTCAAACGGAGGAGGGAGATGTCTGCTCTTACTTTCTGAAGAACCGCTCCTCTTCCTTTGTGAGAATGTTGCTGAACCCTCTGTTCGAGTGAAATCGCAGGGAGTCGCAAGGCAGCGTCCTGGGCTTCTTGCAGAACCACATGTGTCCTGTCGCTTTGTCCCTGTACTCGCACATCTTGGACTTCAACATTAAGCGCGGCACCGCGTTGCACTCGGTGGCCTCGCCTGTCGCTCCTTCCTTCTCGAAGTAGCCGGTAAAGAAGATCTTGTTCGGCACGGAGTCGCGGAGGCGGCTGATGATGTTCACGGCCTCGCTTGAGTGAACCAGCTTGACGTCTACAAGGGCCTCGCCTGGCCACGGCAGCACGACGCTCGCCGTGTACGAGCCGTTGTCGTGGTCCAGTACTGAGCCAAACGCGCCCGCCCGGAGCTTCTCTGAGTAGACTTTGATGCGAAAGTAGTCTCCGCCATACCGCTTGTCCCTGCCGTGGTGGTCTCTGGCCTGCACGGTGAGGTGCAGCGTGTCACCGACCGTGAAGTTGCGTGTCCCACCCAGCAGCCGATAGCTCGTGGCCACGGGGCTGGTGGATGACTCGAAGTTGAATGAGGACATGGCGGGCGGGCTCGGCCATCGGAGGAGCTGCTGCAGGTCATCCATCTCGGGGTCGTGTGGCTCCGTGGTGGCACTTCTGGGGCCTGATTCGGGCCTTGCATGGCGGGGAGGCTTTTGCAGGGGAGGGAGGCTCAGGGACACCTGGGGAGGCAGTGCATGCACATCAAAACATGACTAAATGAAGAATACGAGAGAATTGAGTCAGTGAATGAGAGGAATTAGTAATTGAATAAGGGAGGAATTATCAAGTGAATGTAGCATGAATGAGAGGATGAGAAAATAATGCATACATGAAATAATGAGTGACTGAGGGATAAATTAGTCAATTAAACGAATTATAGAAATGAATGAGTGATTGACTGAGAGATGAATAAGTGAATGCAGGAGGAATGAGTGAGTGAATAATAAGTGAGCAAGTGCCAGTATAGTTTAGCGGCGTGGTATAGTTGTGCGGTATTGGGTTAATTAAATGGTACATGGTAAGTCTTCGCTTAACGCATGTTCACACGAGTTTCGCTATAACGCGGTTCTTGTATGAGGAAACACTTTTTTCACAACGCGGAACAAACCGGTTGTAACGTGGAACCAACCCGTTAAAAGACAGTTTCTGAGCGGTCGATGATGAACTACTTTGTTTACCTGCACGGCTGAGTTACACAATATAGTACATGGAATGATAAGTGACGTACCCTCATTTATTAATCCCGCCATCTCACTGTGTGTGCGTACGTAGTATCTTGCCAAACTTTATCGTTACATTATTCGTGGGGAATTTTTTTTTCGCTTAACGCGTTTTTTGCTTAACACGGCACTATTCAGCAACGCATCTACCACTTTAAACGAGGACTTACTCTACAGCAGTGGTGTACAGTGTACTGTTATGGTGTAGTGTAGTGATGTAGAGTATTCGTGCGGTGATGTGGTGTAGTGATTTGGTGTAGTGTGATGGAACCGTGTTACGCAGTGTGGTGAAATATTGTAGTTTACAGCAATGGTGGAGTTTGTATTGTAATGGTGCAATGATTCGGTGCAGTGGTGTGTGGTGGTATGGTGGAGTGGTAATGTACTGTATAGTGGTGTGGTGGTGGTGTCGTGTAGCGGTGTGGTATAGTAGTTCAAATTATTGATTTGTCATGGGTGTATTGGTGTGGTGAGTGTTTCGTTAGTTGGTCTGGTAAGTGTGTGTGAATAAAGAAGCTGGCGAGTGCCACTTGAGTTGTGGGTGATGTCTGCTGAGATTCAGGAGAGCAACGTGGTGTGAGCAAAGTCGTGTCTGTCGAGTACCAAGCTCGTGGTGAGGGGGTCAGGCGTGTCTGCCGTGGTTCAGATGGATGACGGGTTGGTTAGTGGTGTCGTGGGAGCGCGTGAATGGTGAAGTGTCTGGTGAGTGGTGTCTAAGTGAGGGTTACATGTTAGGTGAGTGGTTGGGTCACTGGCAGTGATTTCAGGTGAGCATCTGGTGAGTGTCAGGTGGTGAGTAGTGGCAGGTGTCTGGTGAGTGTTGAGAGTGGCCCAGATCCGTGGACTCACAACCAAGGCAAGATTCTACCGGCTCGCACCATGGCGATATTTCGCAACAAACTCGATTAAGACGCCAAACACGTAGATAACGCTGCGCGACACCACGCAACAATCGCAACGAACACGGAGGGCAACAAGTGCACGGTGAGGCGGGGCAGGAGACGTTCTCACGTTCATCACGAAGACGACGAGGGCGCTGAGAGCGAGGAGCGAGATGAGAAGCCACGACCTGAAGATCCGAGATGGAGGAAGACTCTTCGAGTCCATCTTCATCATTCAGCCCCGAGGAGGGAGACGCGGAACTCTGCGTGCTCAGTCGAAACCTCAACCACTTGCCCCTCCTCCTCGCCCTCCTCCCTCTCACCCTCCGTCTCCTCCTGCCCCTCCTTCGTCTCACTCGAACTTCGTACTAACCACACTACACCGTATATCACAACGGCACTCGCGCACTCACTGACTTACCCACTCATCTATCCACTCGCCCGCCCACCGACTCACCGACCGATTCACCCACCCACTCACTCACCCACCCATTCACCGACCCACTCACTCACTCACCCACCCACTCACTCACCCACTCACTCACTCACCCACTCACTCACTCGCCCACCCACCCCCTCACCCACTCACTCACCCACCCACTCACTCACCCACTCACTCACTCACCCACTCACCGACCCACTCACTCACTCACCCACCTACTCACTCATCCACTCACTCACCCACCCACCCCTCACCCACCCACTCACTCACCCACTCACTCACCCCCCCCACTCACCCACCCACCCACTCACCCACCCACTCACTCACCCACCCACTCACCCACTCACTCACCCACTCACTCACCCACCCACTCACCCACCCACCCACTCACCCACCCACTCACTCACCCACCCACTCACCCACTCACTCACCCACTCACTCACCCACCCACTCACCCACCCACCCACTCACCCACCCACCCACTCACCCACCCACTCACCACGCTGCAAGTCACCTAACGTATCATGCCGCTTCTCCCCTCGCACGGCTCCGCTATGGAATTCCCTCCCCCCCAATCGTCTTTTTCCCCAGTTCTTATAATAACCAATTCATGAAACGTGTAAACTCTTATCCATTTAACAAGCAGGCAATTTGACTCCTTTACACAGCTCTCCCTCCACATAAATGACGGATTTTTGCACATCCCATAAGCCGCACGTCCTTCTCTGGTAGTGTATAATTTCATCAGCATTGGTTCAACCAACACGAGCAAACTGTGGATGTGGCTTCAACGAACAGTGTCTCATCACCATTGCAGTCTCGCCTGAGCAATAGCGACGCATGTTGCTGGCCGGGTTCGTCCTGGGGTAATCCACGTGAATCCCTCTCACCTCGACCCTGTGTGCGCGTACTGTCTCGGTGACTGCCCGCTTCCCCGTGACCCCACATCTGCACGTGCACAGACACATCACCTCGCTTGTCCCGGTGACTCTCAAGAGTGTCTCGACTCATATTCCAGTGTCTTCTTCGCTGCCTCCCCCGTGACTCGTGGTCTTATATCTCCCCGTGACTGAGTTTCTCCCATTTGAGTCCCCCATTTGGGATTCATGGACTTAGGGAGGGGGGCACAAGGCTGCGCTCCGGGCCTGCCTGTGACCCTTTGACGCTTCGCGGGGCCTCAAGGTGCACCGAGCCTGACACAAGCATCCAGGCACTGTCACCGCCACCCAGTGGTGAACCGCCACTGTGGTTACTGTGAATATGCAGTTGACTATCTATTATCCGGGACGCGATAATCTGGCTTCCAACATTATCCGGCGGTCCGGAGCCAATCCGGCGGAATCAGCAAAACCGCTCCAGTCAGGCGTTTGGCACCATGTGCATGACAAAAAAAGGTAACGATGCTTGATTTCAGTAGCAATATTTTATACAGTACATTATACAATTCAAAAACATGAAAATACTGCACGTATATACATTGTTCATGATTAACAACTACAGTATTGAAAACAGAAAATATAGAGTGCGATCCGGTGTAAAAGTGCGTGTAATTAGGCGTTCGCGTCACTGTGGCGATCATCAAACACGCGTCGTTTAGACAAGAGCATATGTACTACATCACCCCATGCAGTCTTCGAGATTGGAGTGGTAAACAGTAAACACGGTAACTTTGCACATTTAAATATGTATTTTTGTCTATTTGTATGTTGATGCCAATGTCATAAACACATTTAAAACACTAAAAATAAATATACTCAACACTTAAAATCATGTGTTGCAAGAATGTGCAAAAAAATACTATTTTAAATAATGATGTGATTTCGATTTAAAGTTTTCGTGACTGCAAGGATTCATCTTCTTTGGTTCTTTCGGTAAAGTCACTTTACCGAAAGAACCAAAGAAAATGATGTGATTATCCAGCGTTTTTGAAAATCCGGCGCCCCGTTCCCCCCTAAGCCGCCGGATAATCGATGATCTACTGTATTCGATCAATATTGAATCTCGTACATGAGGAAAACACAAGAGTCAGGCCTCCAACTTAGAGTGACTTGGCCTAAAAACATTTATCCGAGGTGTGGGGAATGGCGGTCCTAACATAAACCAAGTTGCAGAGAGAGAGAGATCCAATAACATGTATCTTCCACATGCAAGTTTCCCCTCCGTCGTCAACACAGGGACCTCCAGACAAAGGTTAATTTGTCCCTCGGCGTACTTGTGTACCCATCTGCATTTGCATGGCTGCGTTGGGAATTTTGGGTATGTGCTGATGTTAACACATGGACTCCTCTACTTCTGAAAGCGGTTCCAGAGGTCTGTTCGTAAGTTGATTTGTTCGTAAGTACAACTTTACTACTGCCGATTCCAAACATGTTGTACGGCATGTATACTAAATACGGGGAATGGCTTCTAACGTTGTATAATTACCTGTAGATGTAGATGCCACTGGTTCTTCACGTTCTGCAGATGTAGAAGCCACTACCGCCATTTATTGTGCGGCGGTTGAACTGACGACTCTCGGTTCGAACAGGCAACTGGACATACAGACAGGTTTGTTCGTATCTCTGAAAGTTCGTAAGTCAAATGTTCGTCAGTAGAGGAGTCCTTGTATGTCAGTGCTGGACTCCCTGGGGTGCTTGCCCCACCCACATTGACGGGTAAACGCGCAGGGTTGAGCATATCAATAAACGTGTATTGGTCGCATTCACAGTTAAGCTGATGTTATAGCAGTTGCAGCAAAATGCTTGAGTTGTCAGCTCCAGACCATATCAAAAGAATGTAACAAATAAACAACAACAATTAGAAAGACATTAAAAATGACGAAATATCCGAATTAATCAAAATTACAACCAAATAACACTATAACAATAACCCAAATAACAATCTGTGCACATGTAGTGGAATAAATATGTGCATTAGGGTGAGCGGTGAGATCCCGCGGAGGCGAGGACAGTACGGGTTATTACGGCTCAGCCAGGTGCGGTGGCTGGGACGGAGAGGTTACGTTGGGCCAATTAGGCCAGGAGGCCAGAGGCGGCCGTGATTGGCTGGAGCTGTTGTCAAGGCTGAAATGGCGCCTAAATGTCTGGGGGAGAAACAGGTGCCAACGACGCAGAGCGTCGTCGGGGCACGGACTAATTAATTGGAGATTAATGAGAGCGGGGATAAATCGGGAAGACGCGAGAATAGCGGGGAGTTGGAGTCGGGGGCTGGACGAGGCACCGCGTGGAACGAAGCAGCAGTGGCGAGAGCAGAGTGTTAGCGGAGACGAAGATGCTAAGCAGTTAGCAGTGGAGAGAACATAGCGATAGTGAAGCGCAGAGACGAAGCAGTTAGCAGTGGAGAGAACATAGCGATAGTGAAGAGTGAAGCACAGAGACGAAGCAGTTAGCAGTGGAGAGAACATAGCGATAGTGAATAGTGAAGAGCAGAGACGAAGCAGTTAGCAGTGGAGAGAACATAGCGATAGTGAAGAGAGCAGAGACGAAGCAGTAGCAGTGGAGAGAACATAGCGATAGTGAAGAGTGAAGCGCAGAGACGAAGCAGTAGCAGTGGAGAGAACATAGCGATAGTGAAGAGTGAAGCACAGAGACGAAGCAGTAGCAGTGGAGAGAACATAGCGATAGTGAAGAGAGCAGAGACGAAGCAGTAGCAGTGGAGAGAACATAGCGATAGTGAAGAGTGAAGCACAGAGACGAAGCAGTAGCAGTGGAGAGAACATAGCGATAGTGAAGAGCGAAGAGCAGAGACGAAGCAGTAGCAGTGGAGAGAACATAGCGATAGTGAAGAGTGAAGCACAGAGACGAAGCAGTAGCAGTGGAGAGAACATAGCGATAGTGAAGAGTGAAGCACAGAGACGAAGCAGTAGCAGTGGAGAGAACATAGCGATAGTGAAGAGTGAAGCACAGAGACGAAGCAGTAGCAGTGGAGAGAACATAGCGATAGTGAAGAGCAGGGACGAAGCAGTAGCAGTGGAGAGAACATAGCGATAGTGAAGAGCGAAGAGCAGAGACGAAGCAGTAGCAGTGGAGAGAACATAGCGATAGTGAAGAGTGAAGCACAGAGACGAAGCAGTAGCAGTGGAGAGAACATAGCGATAGTGAAGAGAGCAGAGACGAAGCAGTAGCAGTGGAGAGAACATAGCGATAGTGAATAGTGAAGAGCAGAGATGAGAAGAGACGAAGCAGTAATAGGGGAGAGAACGGAGAAGCAGTGATAGCGGAGTGAACGGAGAAGCAGGGGGAGCGGAGCTGACAGAGAAGCAGTGATAGCGGAGCTGACGGAGAAGCAGAGGTTGGAGAGACAAAGGTGGCGAGCGAGTCGAGTGAAGCACGGCGAGCGAGCCGTGGCAAGCCGGGGAACTGTGAAGCACTGAGGACATGTGGAGAACTGTAAATAAAGTGGTGTTGGAAGAAAGACAAAAGTTGTCCGAGTGAAATATACCACTACACATATATGCATGGGATGAATGATATGTAATTTGTTTTAGTGAAATTTGTTGAGTATACGGTATTGAAATATCCCAGTGTATCGAAACAGTATGTAAATTGGAAGTGCCCAGTGTTCAACGTCTCTATATACATAGGACAGTAGTGTTGACTGTGTGTTTGTGAGTAAGGGTGTGTGTGTAGTCCAACAAAACAACCCCCTACCTCGTGGTGCCGGACAGGCAACACTGTCGTGGACAGTGCTGTGGGGGGAGGGCCAATTCCGATTGGCCTTTCCCCTCATTTCGTTTGTAACCACCACAGCGGCCAAATGGGGGCTCTGGATGGGTGCGAGGGGCTGGTAACCCCTCCACCTTCAATTAATTACCACTAAACAACGACGACAATTTAATAAATAAGCTTGTGCCGGAAGCCCCGGGGGGACAGGCGTCTATGACGTCTCCT